CCACCAACTCCTTCTTGCCCTGTCGGGCAGCAAGGAAACGCGATCGCACGCGATATGCCTGGTCGGGCAGCGAGAACACTCGCAAAAGCTGACGCTTCTGCCCCTTCCAGGAGAAGAACGTAGCTTCAACCGAAGCATCGCACGTTTGTTCCCATTCTCGCGCTCGTCCCCCCGAGCTTATAGATTGATAGCGCGTGCGCTGTCGCTCGTTCTGGAGCATGGCGGATGCCATAGCTATTTCGACCTCTCTTGTTCAGAGCAGGAGATTCTCTTCATCCTTACTGTCGAAGTTCTTAACGCTCACCATGAACGGCCTCGGTCACGAAGTTCATCCGTCGTCGGTGGTGGCGTCATCAATGCAGTCGACGCTGACAGCATCTGTGTCGTTGCTCAAAAAGAGTATTTTTATAATTCAAAAACGTTTCTAGGCGCGCGCTTATCGCCTTGGAACCTTGCGCAACGAGGTGCTCCATGCCCTCAAGGCTCAGTAGGGATATCAGCTTATTAAGCCCGTCGTCCTACATGCCCTGGGGCAAATAGGAGCATTGCCTCATCCTCACGGATGATCAGTCGAAACGACTCCGGCGTAGCGACACGAGTGCTACCAAGTGTAGCGGGGCTGCAGTAGCTCTTCTCTTAGAGGAAGCTAAGCTAAGGTCACCGACCTTACGTTCTTTACAAGAACCCGTACGAGTGCAGATCGCAACCTGCTGCCTCCAAGAGTACTTACAACCTTAGTCAAGGTAAATGACCTCTTTCGCTCAAAATTGAAACTGTATATAAATGTTTCAGTCGCGGCAGAGCCGCCGATATGTAGACCCCTAGGGTTCTTTAATTAAGATAGCAATACCTAATCAATATAGTAAAACCAAATTTATATGCATTACTACTGGCAATTCTGCCGTGTTATGGATTCTGCACCACTGTGTGACTACTCCAACTTGTGTAGTTCACACCTAGGTACGGTCGCACCATCTTGTGCGACCCGCCCTTTCATACAAGGTATGTGTAACCCCGTTACAGTTTATATATACTAGCAACCAACGTATACCACAGGTCCCTTCTCTTCGGAGACACATCATCTTCTTGAAGCCGATACTTTGGTACTTATGGATATTTTTCAAACAATTTCATTGTGAAATTTGCAGATACTTGCTCAGCTACCCCATAAATTTGCCGCAAGTCCCAGAATTCGATGTGGCCAGAGACTGCGGTTGACTACTGAAAATTAAAGCAGCATTTTCTCAGTGGAGTTGAGCTGAAACTGGATCATGTTTGTTTGTATGTATGAAGGCTACGCATCGTACGATGCTAGATGGATGAGATGATGCATTTGAGGTAATGATGACGTTAGGTGCCGCGCTGAATATTAAAATGGATTGGTACCTCTCTGGAGTCTTACTGCTGTTTCGTCTTCGCATCATATTGAACAGTATCGAGTTGCATGCTGGTGTACATGTTTACAAAATAAGATATAACGTTTTCTGTTTATGAGATGTATTCATGTGGTTTCCATGCGTAAAATGCGTAAACATGTATCGACACACCGATTCGTAATTTGATGTTGTACTGTTGTGTAAATTTAAATCACGGGACTGTGTGGGAGTCTGCGTCATCAAACGCACATAAGTTGGGCTCGTGCGCTTCTTCCAGGAGTGGAACCAAGAGCCTTTAATGTAATTCACAGCATTTGTTTGCTCCATTCACAAAGTATCAGCCTACGCAGCATGATGCAGCCCAGCACGCCACCTATATCTATTTCACGTAACATACAATCGTCATCAGAGCTGGATTTGCTGGATTAGTCGTCCCTCGAGATAACTTTGTCGATTGCAGCCTAGCACACCACCCATATGTATTCCACGTAGCACACAATCATCATCAGAACTCGATTTGCTGGACTAGTCGTCGCTCGAGAAAACTTCGTCGATTGAGGAAGATGAATGTTTACGCAAACCACGAGCTGTAGTGACACAATAGCATTGATTTCTTCAGTATTTGACTTTGTTGCTCCTATTTGATAGCTTTTTAAAGTTTGACGTGTGGGAAGAAGAGGGAGCAGAGAAGTGAAGAATATTAAAATTTAGAAATGGTGATTAGAGGTCTGTATTTTTTTCGAATAGTGGTCGCTTCGCAAATTATATATTTGAACGAATATCGCGGAG